CCCCGCGGACCCCCCGTGCACACGCGGGCACGGCCACAGCTGCGTCCTTGCGCGCTCACGGCGGCCCCCGTGCGCGCCCCCGCACTCTCAGCAGCCCCCTCAGCGAACCCCTGGTACATCCGTGTCCCCCTCACGCACACACGGGCTCCCTCGCACACCCCCCCCCGCGCTTTTGCACACCCGCACGGCCGCTGATCCCCCCCCCCCCGGTGTTTGTGCCCCACGCACGGGGGGCGCGGTGGCACCCCGGGCACGGTGACAGCCCGGACACGGTGACACCGAGGCAGGGACACGGTGCGAAGGTGCCCCGCGCACGCTGCCACCTCCCACGCGGGCTGCCAAGGCCGGGGTGAGGAAGAGGAGGAGGGAGCGGAGCCAAACCGCCCATCGGTCGGTCTCCGGGGCACAGGATCGGTCCAGCGGGCGGGACCAGTGACCCGCCACGGCAGAGTCCCGGCTCTCCGGGTGCTGGGGCTTCGAGCGGGACCACCCCAGGGAGGGGGTTCCGGGGGGATCTCTTGGCAGGACCCCCGTGTCACCCAATGCCAGGGCCGCCGGGGGTGTTGGTGGCAGCGGTGGCAGCGGTGCAGGGGACACGGGGGGCACAGGGGGCACGGGGGGCACGGGTGCTGGCGGCGCGGGGCTCAGCACCAGCAGGGTTTTGGATGGCAGCGGCTGGAACGATGTTAATGACTTTTCTTCCTGTCGCTCTCCTTTTACACCGAGGGCAGCTCCGTAACCAGAGCTGCTTCCTTCCCCGAGATTAAGGAGCCGTCTACTCGCCCCCCCTCCCCGCCCCTCCTGCGGCCGCTGAGGCCCCCCCGGAGCTGCCACCGACTTGTCACCCCCGGCTGGCCCAGGCCTGGCCCTGGCAGCCCACCCCCGAGAGCTCTGGGTGCCCCCCTTCCCGCGGTCAGGGGTGCTGAGCATCCTCCCGGCGCTGCTCGGGATTCGTCCCACCAGCCGGGGAGGGGGCTCAGGGAAAGGGGGTCGCCGTGACTCCCCCGCTCTCCTCCTTCCCCGCGGGGCTCCCCAAAACCGGGACTGCCCGGGGTGGAGCGTGGCAGCCGCCTGCCAGCGCCGGGCGGGTTGGGGCAGGAAGGAGGAGGGTGACAGCGCCGGGGCGCGGGGTGAGGAGCTGCGGCGTGGGGGGGGACTGGGGTTGGAACCCTGGAACCCTCCACGGCGGCGGCTGAGCCCCCCAAACCCCAAAGCTCTGCCCGCTCCCCACTCCCCACCGCCCGTGACTCGATTTTCCCCGCCCGCTCTGACTCAGAGGACGCCGCTGGTGACGGGGGGGACCTGGCTATGGGGGTTTTTTTGGGGGGGGGACAAAGTGCTTGGGGTGCCCTGACGGTGGGACAGGAGGGGGTTTCTGCAGGGTGGGAGCCTGGGTGGGCTACTGGGGGGTTGGCCAGCATTGCTCTGCTCCGGGGCACAGCCCCGGGGGGGACCAGGGATGTGGCTCCTTCCCGGCCGGGGGTGGCTGCAGGTGGGCGGCGGATGCGTCCCCCGGCCGGGGGTCCCCCCGGGTGGGTGGCAGGTGGCCGGCCCGGCCCGGGAGCCCTGCGGTTTGCATTCACGCCTCCCTGAACCGCTTCAGCCCCGCGCTGCCTTCGAGCAGCGGCGAGATGCAAATTCCTCCGGGGTGGGGGGAGTATTTTCGGTTTTCCCTGGGCCCAAATTTAGCCCCCGTGGGTGCCCGGTGCCCTCGTGTTCATTTTAAGAATGAAAACAGGAACAATGCCATTTACTAAGAAAATTACCCCCAAAAGTTTCCCCTCGGTCCCCAGAAGCCAAATTCCTGCCTCGTCCTTCCCCGGCAGCGCCGGTACCTGCCTGGGGGCTGGGCTGGAGGGAGGTGTGGGGACACCAGAGCTCGGGGACAGTTTGGGGACATCAGCCTTGCATCCTGGGCTCCTGCCCGGTGTCTCTGCTGGGAATTTGGTCCCGGGGTCAGCAGGATGATGCCCAGGAGCAGCGGGATGCAGGATGGTGACATGGAGCAGGGGATGTCCAGGACAATCCCCCCAACTCCCATCCCGTGCCGGCCCTGCAGACCCCAGGGATGGGGATATTCCATCTTGCAGCTGCGGGAGAAGAAACTGAGGCACGGGGCTTGTGTCAAGGATCCTCGGGAGCCCGGGAATCCCGCCGGCGATGGGCACGGGCGGGACGCGGCGGCTTTGGGAGGGACGTGGCCTGTGAGGTGACAAGTGTGTCCCCAGCCCCGGGGCGCATCCTGCAGCGGAGCCACTTCCTCCCGTCCCCTCTGCGGGCGACAGAGTTTGGCGAGTGCCGGAAACCAGAGCGGTGGCCGGGAGGGACCGGGCACGGCGGGCACACGATGCTGCCCCTCGGGCCCCGCCGGACCCACGAACTCGGGGACACTCGGGTGTCCCAAGTGCCGCGTGGATCAGCTGCCTGCTGAGGGAACACCGAGGTACGGGCCTTGGAGGGGGGAATTTGGCCCCATGGAAGTCCCCGGGGCGCTCCTTCCCCCCAGGAAGGGCCCCGCGGGTGAGGATGCCCGGCCGGCTTTGCTGCTGAGGAGCTGCTGCGGGGAGGGGTTGGACCCCAAATCCCGCTACTCCCTCGCTGTTGGAGGGGTGAGTTCAGGCCACCTGGCCCGGGGACTGTCCCATCCCAAGCGGCACCACGTCCCAGAGGTGCCTGGGATGTCCTGGAGCACCCCTGTCCCCAGCCAAGGCTGTTCAAGGTGACGGTCAGGACACGGCTCCTCCCAGCCCTCCTCTCCCTCCCGGCCCTGCGCGGGGACACTTGTGACAGCCACCTCCCCAGGAGCCCTGCCGTGTCTCCCAGTGTCCCTGGTGTCACTTTACCGTGGCAGGGGGGACACTCAAGGGCGTGACATCCTGGGGACAGGGCCACGCTCCTTCCCCCACCCCGCCAGGCCCCGCTGGTGGCACCACCCAGGACTGGCACCGCCGGGGACGCGGGGTGGAGGTGGCAGGTGCCCAACTGTGGGGGCAGTGGGGACACTGGTGAGCCTGACACCCCCCTGGGTGGCCGTGCTGGCTGATCCCACAGCGGGGGGGGTGTCCCTGTGAATTTATCCTCGCCGGCGATGGTATAACAGGAATGAATTAGCACGTCGTGTGTGACGTCAGGGAGCACATGAGCTGCAGCACTTGCTTCCCCCCCAACCCCCCATTAATGAGTTCCTCCCCCCCCATCCATAACCCCCCTCTGGCCTTTATTTTCTCTCTGTGAAAAAAACAAAATCTGGAAATTTCCTTGTTTTTCCTTCTTTTTCCCGCTCGGAAACTCGGCGGGGGGGATTCCTGCCGGGTGGGTTGGGAGGGGCTGGCACTGCCCTGGCAGTCTGGGGGTGCCCAGGGAGGTGGGGGCGGATGCACGGGGGGATGTTGTCCTCGCTGCTGACCCCCCC